AAAGAAAAAAAGATGGAGAATCTACAGGGACAAAAATCAAAGCTTGGGTTTCAACATTTTGATCACACCACATGACCTAGAAGAAAACCATCAATCTGAACTTATTTCAGGAACAAAGGAGGAAAGAACCAAAGAGTTTTGGAAGAGACTTTGTATATTTTAAGATGCGTCAAAATTGGAAGTAATTTGTAAGTGTCTTCTGGGGAGAAATAGCTGAAAAGAACACGCAGAGTTTTACAGAAAATCAGAAGCCAGGCAAACAGACAAACAAAATGTACTTATCAGGGCTAAATTCTCAATGGCACTGCAATTTAGAGCTCTGGTTGACTTTGAAGACCCCAGAACATACAGTAAGAAGGAAGTGATCCCAAATTTATCACCATCTGGGAAAAAACTAAGGTACAACCACTAAAATAATAACGCCTTGCTGTTGGATCAAGCTTTACCTTCAGAGGACTTAGATTTTAATGAGTCTCTACTTCCACAGACCTAAATTCTTCTGTAACAGTTCGCTCTGTTTCCCAGCCTTATCCCCCTGGTCCCAACTTTAAAGGGCAATTTAAAAAAAAAAATTGACAGGATTTAAGAAGCAGGTACATAAGAGATCTAGAAAGCAGGCCACCAGCTGTTTGGATCTAGCTTCAGCTTAGATGAAACGATAATGCCCTGACTGAGTGCCTGACAAGTCATCACCCCAGCCTGACCTCTGAAGAGGATATAGGAGAGTTCAGACATGATCTTGTTTCTCTCCCATTTCCCCCGAAAGACAACTCAGTTCTCCCTCATTTTGTTGTTAATAATGTATAAAAGATGAACTGAATTTGAGATGTCACGTAGTAAAACCATCAGGTTAGCATTTAGACTCAACCTTCTTTCCATGATCAGGAAAGTCAGGTTAGGTACTTTCCTTCTAAGTTCTCACCCTGACCCTACCAATGGGATCATGAAAGACTCCCTACTGCCACAAGCGGCAGGAAGGACTTAGTTTCTTTAAGCATTGCCTAAGTGAACTTAACAAATCCACCACTGCACCAGATACCCAATTGGCTGCTATAATTTTTTAAAAGTTCATAGTCACTTTATAGTTTCCCTGGTGGCTCAGTGGTAAGAATGCGACTGCCAATATAGGAGACACAAGAGACACAGGTTTGACCCCTGAGTCAGGAAGATCCCCTGGAGAAAGAAATGGCAACCCACTCCAGTATTCTTACCTGGAAAATCCCATGGACAGAGGAGCCTGGCGGGGTACAGTCCATGGGGTTGAAAAGAGTCAGACACGACTGAGAGACTAAGCAGGCACACAGAGTCAAATTTCATAGGAAAAGTGGTTGATGTGAATGACTGCCCCAGTTATTTTAAAGTGTAACATAAAAATGCGTCCAGATTACAAAATAATTCACTATTTACTTCTTATAATTATTTCTCATATTTACCAAAAAGGTTTGATATTTTTAAATTTTAATTAAAAACAGTACTTTTCAGACTTTAAATATGCTAACGAAAATCAGGCAGGATAGATAATAAAGATTTAAGATGAGTAGGGAGTTTCCTGGGGGTCTATGCTTAGGTTTCAGTGCTTTCACTGCCAAGGCCCAGTTCAATCCCTGATCAGGGAACTGAAATTTAGCAAGCCATGTGGCACGGCCAAAAGAGAACAAAGATGAGTAACAACTATCACTTTTTTTTTGAACACAGACTACCAAAAAGAAAAAGTTAATATTAACAATAATCCGCGAAAATAGAGAAACAAGCATGTACAAGGCTATCCATTGTATCTTCTTTCATTTGGAAATTATCCACATGCTTATCAATAAGCTGAATAAACTATGGTACATCCCCACAATGGAGCATTATGCAATAAAAATGAATGAAGACTATCTGTAGACACTATTGTGGGGTGGAACTCCAATGTAACAAAAAGACAAAGCTGGAAAAAAAAGTGTGTAAAATGATGCTACTATTTATCCGTGAAAGGATGGGTTATGAAATTACAGATACATATTTGCTTATGCTTTTTGAAAGGCAATGATAAGCTACAATTTTTTTTAAAGGGCTATAAATACAAGGAGGAAAAGTTGGGAACAGAAGGTAGACTTCTTTGAATGTATTTTTTTATATCTGACTTTAGAATCAAAGGTAATATTTTATATAATTACAAATAAAATTTTATAGAGAGAAATTTCTGATATTCAAATATAAAATGAAACAACCTAACTGTATATCCAGTTAGAAAATAACCATATAGAGAAGAATTATTACAAATGAAATGACTCTCTTTCTCTGAAGGAACTACCCTAAGGATTAAAAAATAAAAACTAGGAAAACAAACTGTTTTCAATAATCATATTATTGCAGGTAGTGGAAGTCTTATAATTCTGAGACCTAAATTTGAATTGGAAGTTTCATCTGGACTTGTAAGTTATTTCAAGAAAATAACTTTCTCTAGCTCCACCCATTGAGAAGGCAATAACCAACCTTATAGCAATAAGCACTTCTGGCTCATGGACTATAGTCTCTAAATACCACTTCCTAAGAAAGGAAGGAAGAGAAGGAAGGGGAAGAAGGAAGCAAAGAGAAGCTCACTCACTCCTTGGAGAAATGACTGATTCCAGTTCTGACATGGGAAATGTATTACCTGTAACAACTTATTAAACCAGAAAGTAAGGCATCTATCAAAAACTACTAGAGTTGTACAGGAAGGAGTAGAAGCCACCTGCAGAAGCTCCCAGTGGCCAAAGCTAAAACAATCTGAGCAACAGAAATGATAGCGAGCGCTGTAAACAGGCACACACTGAATGTGTCAAAAATTCATGAGTAGGGCTCCCCTGGTAGTCCAGTGGTTAAGAATCCGCTTTGTGATGCAGTGGACATCAGTTCGATCCCTGGTCTGGGAGGATCTCACATGCTGCGGAGCAATCAGGCCCATATGCCCAGAACTACTAAGCCCCCAGCCTGTGAGCCACAACTAAAGTCCGTGCACCTAGAGCCCGTCTCCACTACAAGAGAAGCCACTACACTGAGAGAAGCCTGTGCTCCACAACTAGAGAGTAGCCTGCTTGTCACAACTAGAGAAAGACCATGCACAGCAGTGTAAGACCCCAGCACAGCCATAAAGAAATAAATTTAAAAAATTAAAATGTAAGGTACCAATGCAGAAATAAAGTAAAAATAAAGAAGTACAAAACTTTTTAAAAAATCTATGAGCACATATTGATAAAAAAGATTTTTTTGGAGAAAGCTATTTTGAAAACTACTTAGTAAAAAGCAAAAGAATCAAACATTTATCTTGTCTTTGGTGACAAGCGCCTCCTGACACATCAACATATATGCAGTCCTGCCGAAGAAAAACTGTACCTGACAAAGCTTCTAGATAGACCAACCTACAAAAACTACAGGGGACTTCCCTGGTGGTCAGGTGGTTAAGAATCCGTGCTCCCAATGCAGAGTGGGAAACGAAGATCCCACATGCCATGCAGCACAGCCAAGAAAGAAAGAAGCGGGGATGGGGGTGCCAGCCTGTTCTTTGAGCCTCCCACATGAGAACATCAAGAGACTTAGGATTTTAAAACAGAGATCCAGGGGGAACTTATTTGAAAAATGATCCAACAACAACAACAACAAGAGACAACTAGTACAATGAGAACAATGACTACTATTTGATGAATCTTCATTATGAGTGGAGTGGAGTGTAAAAAGACTGGCCAGGTAACAATAATTGTTAATGTTGGGTGACAGGTATATACTGCTACAATCAGATGATTCTCTCTGCATTTGTATATATTTGAAATTTTACATAATAAAAAGTTTTTTTAAAAAATAGGTTTTTCATTCAAACTCTGATGTAAGATTTCTGAAATTTCTGTACTTATCCATGTCTCAACTCAAAGCTCCTTAAAGACAAAACCCTGTCCATCTTGTTCACCAGGGTGTCCTTGGTGACTAACCCAATGCTGGTATAAAGGAATAAACATGAGGTCAAGTCCCTGGTCAGGAACACTGAGCAAAGACCATCACTGTTCTATTCTGTACCCACCCTCAGTGCTGCAATTCAATCAATATTCGTGGTACAGAAAGTTGGACAATTTACTTAGCCTCTCTGAGCCTGAAGGCTCCTCCCTCATCTGTAAAATGGAAATAATATCTCGCCAAGGTGATCTGACATATGGCGGTTAAAAGGACTCCAAGTGGCCATTTACTCGTTCATTCATTCCACAAATATTCATGAATCCTAAAGTCCTACAAAAAGTATGGAATGATCATTCCCATAAACAGAATAGCAATAATACAATAACATAAATATTACCTAAATGTAAATACTCATTCAACAAACATTTATGGAGCTTCTGCTGGTTACTAGGCATGCTGTTTAAAGGTAACTATGAAGATAGATAAAGCACACACACACACAAAATTGTTTTTAAGGACGTTTTCTGTCAAAGGGATGACAAGGGCAAGAACAAGGTTACAATGGTGACACATTTCACTGCCCACTCCCACTGTGGACATTCTCCTACGCAACCTGGTTTCAGGGAAGAAATCAGTTAATCTCTGAAAAGGTACAATCTTCCAGATTATACCTTATAAAAGGTATAAGCTCCCAGATTAAAGCCACCGTGAGCTAACTGTCTTTTACTTATTTGCTGCAGTAAAGCTATATATTCTTCTTAAAGATCCCAGCCAATGCTGGAAATCTTCCAAAGAATTAGGTACTTTTGTGTTTCTGGGATTTTGCCAGCGGTCCAGACCAAAAGAGCCAAATCCATGAGCCAAATGGCTCATTCATTTAACATTAACTGCCAACTCCTTTCTCCTAGAACATAACGCCAACTCTTTTGAAAAAGCCCCCTCAGCAACTTGCTCCACGTCAATCAACGACCAAATTAAGAAGAGCTGCAGATCCAAGTGAGTCTTTGAGATCCAATCCCAAGCACAAGACTAACTTCCCTTCCATTAAGAATAGGATTTAATAAATCATGCAAAAAATTTTTTTCATAACTTACCTCAAATTCTTCCCAAAAGCCTTGTTTGACTTTATCTGTGGTCTCAGCTAATTTGCTTAGTTCTCGAACCCGACTTTCTATTTCAGCAGCATTGATACGAGTTGTGTTGAGGGGCTGATCAAATTCAGCAGTCAGTGCAAAATGAAGAAAGTATTGCAGAAAAAGGTGTCAATGAAAAAAAAAAAAGACTTCTATGTTGGTATTCATAAAAGCAAGGACAGGAAGTTCACAGTATTCACAATAAAAGTTTTCAGAGTTTCACTTTCCTTTCTGTTCAGTCAGGAAATACCTCTTTCTTGAATCTCCACATACTTTACTCTGCTGATATAAATTCGAACCTATTTTTCTTTATAAGTAGACCACATGTTAGAGATGATGTCATTTGCCACTAAGTAATGAGTGAGTTTTAAAATAGCAATAACTCCCAAGTGAAAAGCAATGATCACCTAAAGATAACCAAAGCTAGATTTACAATGAAAACTTTATCAAAACTTTGCTATAAAACTCCATAAGGCCTTTTGAATTATATATGGAGACAGTCATGAAAATGATGTAATGTCTAGAATTTGTTTACAAATACTAAGGAAGAAGGTAGCGAGTGGACTAATAAATGAAACAAGACTTGATGAGTTGATATAATAGAAGCTGGGTGATGGGTACGTGGAGGTTTATGACACTATTCTACTTCCATCTGGAATATTTTATGTTAGGACTTCTTTAATTGTATAAGGAGGTGGAGTTTAGCTTTCCAATATGCTTACCTGCTTGAGTTGTAGTACTGTGCCCAATGTTTCTACCATAGGATTCTTCTTGTAATGCTCCACGAGGTCTGTCAAAGAGTCAAACCGTTCTCCTCCACCAACATCATATTTCAGTTCCTTTCATGACCAAAAAAAAAAAATTACACTCATGACCTTTATGTTAAATGACTGCTTTTCCCAACTCAAGTACAGAAACTAACTCTCCCCCGACTTCTTAGTAGCCTTGAAAACCAATAGATTCATAACCGCAGTAACTGGGAAAAAAAGCAGCTTAGCACAACTGGAGTAGACAAGATGAAACTGGAACGCTGTCCAGACCAATCCCCAGAGAATTATCACTATTTGATCTGTTTAGCAGCTCCCTGTTTTCAGAGCTTGTCTTTGAACCTGACTTAGAGCCTATTTAGCCCTGCCTTCAGGGGATCTCCCCAAAACAATCAGCAGCAACTGTTTAATATCACAGCTGCCTAAGGCAGCAATACCAGTCAGTGCTTTATAAGAGACTGAGCAAAAACTTAAAAGGAAAATCCAGGCAACTTCCATAGCAGGCTCTGGAAACCTCCAACATACTCTTGAGAATCCAGGACATGTGCATGTGCAGCGCTATGTGAAGTTCAGGAAAGATCCAAAAAGGCCCTAATCTTTATCTCTGGCTGATTCTGAGGTTGTGTGCAAGCAGGAAGTGAAGGCTAAGGCTGAGTTTTAAGGTACCATAACACTAAAGGCAGACATGCCCCAACACACACACACACACACACACACACACACACACACACACAGCCATGCTGGCAAAGTCTGGGAGATTTAATGTTTCAAGGCATTTAAGGAAATCTCTGTCCAACCAGCAAGTGATCACTATGCAAACCAAGCAGAGACATCAGTGGCCACACATGACAAAGAATACAGGAAAGTCAATAAACATACAAACAGCAACAACTATAGGAACGATAAAAAGCAGCAACAACAAACCCTGGGAAAGGAGGTCATCAGATTTCTAGAGCTGCCACATTATACTGCTTTAACTGTCTAGTTTCCAGGAATTTCCTGGTAATCCAGTGGTTAGGACTCCAAGTTTCCACTGCAGAGGGCCCAGATTCAATCCCTGGTTGGGGAACTTAGATCTCAGAAGCCATATGGCATGGGGGCAATTTTTTTAATAAGTAAAATATTTTGCTGTCCACCTGAAACTATCACAACATTGTTAAATGGCTATACTCCAATACAAAATAAAAAGCTTTAAAAAATAAAATGTCTAGTTTCCAACAAAAACTCATGAGTCATGCAAAGAAACAGGAAAGTATGGAGCATGTTTTGGGAATGGGAGGTAAGCATTCAGTAGAAACTGTTCTTGATAAAGTCCAGACAAAACTTTAAACCAGCCAGTATAATAAAGGAAACTACACAAATTAAAGGAAAATATGAACATCATGTCTCATCAAATAGAGAATAGCATGAAAACTTGTACATAAATGTATTATTCACGATAGCCAAAAACCCCATCAATTGTTTAATGGATAAACAAAATGTAGCCCATCAATTGTTTAATGGATAAACAAAATGTGGTATATACCCATACGACAGAAAGTTTGACAATAGAGAGTTTACTCATGCTACAATATGGATAAGTCTTGAGAAACATGCTAAGTAAAAGAAGTGTCACTAAAGGCCACAAATTATGTTAGTCGATCTATACAAAATACCCGAAACGGGCAAATCCATTGAAATGAAGAGATTAGTGGTTGCCAAGAGTTGGGGGGAGGGGGAAAGATAGGGAGTGACTGGTAAAGAACACAGGGTTTCTTTTCGGAGTGATGAGAATATTCTGGAATTAGTGTTATTGGCTGCATAATTTGTGAATATAGTAAAAAAAAAAAAATAAAACTACCAATCTGTCCACCCTAAAAAGAGTGAATTTCATGGTGTGTGAATTGTATCTCAATAAAGCTGTTTTTTTTAATCTTATTAAAAAACTGAAGCAATAAGTGAATACACAGTTACTATTTAAGAAACTATGTCAATGTATATTATCATATGTGAAATAGATCGCCAGTCCAGGTTGGATGCATGAGACAGGGTGCTCAGGGCTGGTGCACTGGGATGACCCTGAGGGATGGGATGGGGAGGAAGGTGGGAGGAAGGGTCAGGATGGGGAACACATGTACACCCATGGCTGATTCATGTGAATGTATGGCAAAAACCACCACAATATTGTAAATAAGCCTCCAATTAAAACTAAAAAAAAAAAAAAAAAAAGAAACTATGTCAAAACAAAGTTTGATGTAATTGACCAAAAACCCAACCTGGTCTAGCCACCACATTAAAAACAAGAAATGGTGAGTTCAATTCTCCCAGCCTTAACTGAAATGAAATCACATGTAGTCACAGGCTATACTATGCCAACCCAAGGGAGGAGCTGAGGCTTAGAAATTTAGACGGAGGTAGATTCCAACTACAACCACGTACAGGTAGACTGAGACACTGTGGGGCTGGAATTCCCTGGCAGTCCAGTGGTTAGGACTCCACACTTTCACCGGCAAGGACCAGGGTTCAAGATTCTGTAAGCCAAGTGGTGCATCCAAAAATAAATTTTAAAAGATATCACAGGGCGGAAGGTGACTTGCTAAAGACACACAGGAAATAAGTAATATAATAAAGCCCTGAAGTGATGAAACAGTTATAATTAACAAGGTACTCAGTGTAGAAGCCCTCGCCTAAATGAACGAAGAAAACCTGACTTTGGAAGAAATGGTGCTGGTCTTCTCCCAATAGAAAAACCACCCAAACATGACATTTCAGAAGACTCATGGTTCAGCTGGGGCTTTACCTGACAGCGGATCATGACGTGGGTCACTTTAGACTTGGCATCATTGCTCTCCCCTTTGTCATCTCCAGTTCGGACAGAGAGAACAAAATCTCCAGGGTGGCTCTGGCTCTCGCGCACAAGAAAGCTACCATGTTTTCCTTTTTCGGTTAATAATTTTTCTGCTTCTTTCCCAGAGAGGTGTCCATGAAACCACCTAATTTTTTTTTTTAAATGACAATCAATTGAGTTCTGCAATGAGTTCACAACATCCTTTTATAAAACTACCATCCATAGTGATCTCTCAAAACAATTTAAAATAGACACATTCATCCAAGAGACTGATCCATCCCATTCAAGACTGAACCTGCACCCCCAGCATGCAGAAAAAATGATAAAGATGTTATGAGTAACCATTAAATTCCTTAAAATGAGCCCACAGGCATCTAAACACAAATATCCTCAATCTTTCTTATTTTCTTTTAAATCCCTCATCTTTTAAAAAGGCAGTCTGTCATTTCTCCACTGCCCAACCCTAAAATGACCAACTATTTAATCACAGTCATTTAAAGAAATTATAATAGAGAGTTATGGTAGTGACAGAGAACCATTTGAATGTTTGCCCTTGCTTTGGCATGCAAACACTCCATAAAAAAAGGATCTTTGTTAGAAATGAATTCAAACATTCCAAGCTTTTCCAGATTTTCAACTTATACTTCAAGAGCCTCCAAGTTTGCTGTCCACATATTTGGACTATCCACTGGGTTATCATTTCAAATTTTAATGCACATGAGACCTGGAATAGAGGCAAAGGATTGGGCTAACTATGTGAACTCTCATACCTTACAATCAGAGATACCAATACACTAAGTCAGAATGGGGCCCAGCAATCTGCATTTTTAACTAGCACATTAGAGTCCTAATGTAGGCGGTCTGAGGTCAGACTTTGAGAAAATACTACTCTAAGTTACTATAGAAAATATCTCAACATAGTCATATTAATAATGTGGCTTTTTCCCTCAGGTTCTTGAGGAAACAAGCATGATCCGCATGTAGTGCTAATCGCTCATCACTGAAGGTATGTTTATCAAGGTATTTTTCATCTACTCTCAGCCAAAGACAGTAAAATTAAGAAATAAACTGCAGAGAGTTGGCTGACAGTCTTTGCTTAATAATCTGGCTGGCCAACAAATGATCAGCATAAAATAACAATGACATGAAGGTATAAAGAGGAGAAACCTATCTGAAGACAGAAAATATACAAACCTAAATAAGAGGCCCTGATTTGGTACTGAGTTAGAAAGGAGATCGAGAATGCAGAAGAAAACCAATAAAATCAATACAATTAAGTCAAGCCCCAGCTTTCATCAGCCTAGTTCCAAAACAAGGGAAAGATCTCAGAAATAACACAATTCCCTCCAAGCAAGGTCATTCCCACACTTTCGTGGATATAACATCAAAGAGCTTATGAACAATCTGAACCCTCTGAGTTCTCTGCTTTCCCACTTCTGAGCTTAAACTGACATCTGTTGGTGGCATTGCTGAATAGCTGGTCAGGAGCTACTACAGGGAACTGCTACCGTTTTGGTGTCTCCATTAGCATTTGTTTTCCTCTCCTAACTCTCAAGGTTCAGTAACATTCAAATTCAATAATCTTAAAATTATTGCACGTACCAAGTATAATCTATACAGGAACTGTCTGAGACTTCTATGAGTTCTAAGGAATAGTGAGACTGAAGTTTTTGCAAGAAAAGGCCACTCTGAGAGTAAACTTATCCTATCACTGTCACTCTAGTTAAACTTTTAAGATTATGAGATTTTTAAGATATTAAGATTAAGAAACAGATAGAAGCCAAAACCCCATGATGCAGTCACATCACACCTATGACACGGGAGGGGCGCAGGCTCCACAGTTATGTAAATAGAACTGACCTTTCAGAGGTAGGATCGGCACAGTTCAGAGGATATTTGAGCTCAATAACATCTCCATTCTTCTCTTTTAGTTGCCCATGATGTTCCATGTAATACTGGACCAATTCAGCCAAAGTGGCAAATTTCTCTCCTCCGTACAGGTCATAGTAATCACCAGTGTTCTGAATCTTGATGTGGGTGACAGCTCCATTTCTTCTAAAATAGTCCATTAGAAAGGTGGGGGGGAAGACAAATAGAGAGCTATACTAGTAAATATGGATCTCACATTCATTATCAGATTTCACCTAACTGAAACAAACCCAAAGAAGGTACAAGTTTATGCTTTTTTTAAACAAAGGCGCTGAGTGAAAAATAACCACACAGTCAATCATTTCAACGCAAAGGGTTCTGTGTATGGTACGGGGCGATCACTTTTCTCATCACTAATTAATCACAATGAATATCATTAGAATTAAACATACATTTACCTTATAATTCAGCAAACCCGCTCCTAAGTATTTTGCCCTCCAAAAATGAAACTTCATGGCTACCAAAAGATTGGTTCAAGAATATTCATTGCAGCCTCTTTGTGGTAGAAGAAAAGTGAAAAATCAAATATTTATCACCAAAATGTACACAAATACTCATACAATGGAATATTATATAGGAATTTACAAAGAGAGACACAGAACCATTGATATACACAAACAACATAGGTGAATCTCTAAAACATTAGGTTATGACAAAGAAGCCAGTGCTCACTTTGGCAGCACATATACTAAAATTGGAATGGTACAGAGAAGATTAGCATGGTCCCTGCACAAAAGATGACACGCAAATTCGTGAAGCGTTTCATAATTTAAAAAAAAAAGAGAGGGAGAAGTCAGACACAAAAGAAAATATACTGTATGACTTCATTTATATGCTGTTGTCAAATAAGCTGGTCAATGGGGATAGAAAAGAGAATATCGCTGACCTCTTAACGGGAGGAAGATTAGAAAGGAGCACAAAGGGACTTTTGAGGGTGAAAGAAATATTCAAGATTTTGATTGTGGAGTATTGGTTGCATTAATAAGTATACTTGTCAAAACTCGTCTCACTATACACTTTAAGATATTATACATAACTGTATCTTTAAAAATCACTTTAAAGACATATAATTGACAGAGTTTCCAAAATGAAATGGCTAATATGTCAACCCACTGAACTGATGTAACACACTGGCCAAAAGTTTCTAAAACTTGGTATTTTAGTTAGCCTAGACAGTCTGATGATTTTCCGTTTGGTTTTCCGAACTACTAAATATACCTCGTTACTCATAATCATCTTTGCGGACCCAAGAAGTCTGGCAATCCTAAAATGATAGCCACTAACCTATATTTATTTTTCAGTCTGACCCTACAGCATTATTGATGAGGCCTCTGTTAAATATAAACATTACTATCTTTATCCAAAGATAAAGGAAAATGGGAACAAAGCACAAAAAAAGTACCCTACAATGTTAATAACAATATCTGCTTCTAATTTGTGGTGACAATCTTTTCCGTGTAAAAAAGGTACTTCAAGTAAGTCTCTCCTCCAGCTCCACCTGATTCTATTTTAGCACATGAGCTTTCCTATCTCTAACCTTAAGAACATAACACAAAAACAGATATTTCAGTTATGGACTAGATCAATGTAAAGCAACATAGGCGGATCTCAAAAACATGATATTAGGAATTCCCAGCTGGTATAGTGGCTAGGACTTGGTGCTTTAACTCCTGGGGCCCAGGTTCGATACCTGGTCAGGGAACCAAGATCTGGCAAGGCATGCTGTGAAGCCAAAAAAAAAAATGTATATATACATAAATATACATGTGAGAGCATGAAAGAAGCACAATGTAGAATGATATGCTTAGCATGCACCATTTATGAAAATTTCAGAATGTACGTAAGTCATATCATGTATTACTCATGACACAGACCACAGACATATATATAATGTTTACATTTTATTATTTTTATGTTCCATTATTTATTATATGTACCCTTTTTAAAATGAACTAGAAATATACTAAACTCAGAAAGTAGTTATTTCTGGGAAAGAAAAGAACAGCAGAAAGTGTGGTGAAAAAAGAAGAAATTTTGTTCTACTTTATATTTTACTTAAAGAAAAAAATGACTGGCAATAAACACAACATGGATAATTGTACATAAATTTATGTATTTTTCTGTATTTTTTCCCTCAAAATTAAAACAGGGGATCTTCCTTGACTAATAGCATGGGTGCATAACAAAAAGTTTAGATCACCTGCAGAAAACTAGAACAATAAACATGTCATGCACACACATATACAAACATCTCAGTGTCTATTATATCACATACACACAAAAAAACATATATATCATATACATTAAAAGATGAGTGCATAACCAAAAATGAATACAGAAAGAAATGAATCTGACTTTGTAGTAAGTTCATAACTAAACAGAAAATTAATTCCTGTAGCTTTTGAAAACAGTACTAACAGTACACCCTTATTGGGATATATTCTAAGAACAAAAAAGACTCCAGGGAAATCATGAACTTTAATTAGAAATGTTTGCAATTAGAAATGATAGTGGTTCAGTCATTCTGAAGCTATTTCCCTATTATAAGATTGAGCAAATGAGGTCATACACTGATGCAGCTATAAAACAGGGTTCTCTCTCTAAGTGAAGGGAAACGCAAATATGGAATGAGAAGTGGCGAAGAAGCTGGTGTTGAATTGGAACTATCAAACTTGGTTTGATACACATTCATGTATTTATTGATATTGATATATTTAAAATTTGCTTTCAAATATATATTTACTCCCCAGCTCTGTCTACTACAAGGGCCTAGAAGCAGTAACACTCCGGGAGCACAAACACCAAAAGATAAGACAAACAGATATTCTATGCTTTCTGATGTGACATAATGGGATGGCTTCAAAAGCCACTATTGAAATGACGAGAGAAATTTGAACAGGGACTGTACGTTACATAATATTGAATCAATGTTAAAATTTCTCATATATAATAATAATGATATTGTAATTATACAGGATGTCCTTGTTAATAGGACATGCACACTGAACTAACAAAATTTAGAGGTTAAAAATAAGCATCCTGACATTTGCAACTTATTTTCAAATAGTTTGGCAGAAGGAGTATACACAAAGACACACTCAAAAAAGAAAGAGCAAACATAGTGAAATGTTATAATAACAGGTAAAGAGAATGTGGGTGTTCACTATATTCATCTTTTGACTTTCCGATAGACCTGCAATTGCTCAGAATAAAAACCTGAGGAAAAATAAATTAAAAAAAAAAATCCTCCCCAGTTCCATAGTCCTAGCTCTGCTGCTTACTAGGTACAAGACCAGCTTTCTAACTTGACCTTTGAGCTTCAGCTTACTCACCTCAAAGCTGGAGATAGTGGTATTTATTCTTAGGGCTTAATAAAATGGTATTTATTCTTAGGTTATTGGAGAGATTAAATAAAATGAAACACAGCAAGTGTTTAGCAAAATGGCCTGGAATGTGTCAAGTCCTCAGTAATGTTTGCTATTATCCTCCTCTTCCTCCTCCTCATTATTATTATTATAATCTCCATCCAAACTCTTGTAAGTCAAATGTCACTCAACTGTAGGTTAGAGGTCTGTGCTAGGACAAGGCCCGAAAACTCACAAAGGCTTCTGCCCACTCCTGGTAGCAAAACAGAAGTAAAAGCTAACGACGACACAGGCTCCTTGAGAAACTAATACCCATCTAAAAGGGACTTCTCAAGTCCCAAAAGGGTCCTAGATAAACCCTCAGAGCACATTTTCCTTACTTTTTTATTTAAAAGTGATAATAACAAAAGAAAATTCATAGAGAAGTTCGGATCTGGCTCCTGGAATGAGCTAGAACAAGGAGAGTGAGTATATAAGAGAAAGTCAATTTCAAGAAAAAAACTCTCCCATGTGGGCTCAAAGAGACATGCAACAGGATGGGTTGGCCACACTGTTCAAAACAATTTTAAACATAGTAAAGATAACTCAGTGTCCAACAATAGGGGATGGGATAAATTGTGGTATATTCACACCATTCAAGTATTATACAGCCATTAAAATTGATAATTACATCTATATGTCCCAGCACAGAATTTAAAAAAAAAAAAATTTCAAGGAAGCCGCAGTATACATACGTTATAAAGCCAGGGATATGAATTCTAAAAACACACAAACCAACTTCATATCATTCACACATAGGACAAATGCAGTGCGAGTATAAAAACATGTTCAGGAAGGAGATATGCCAGCCTCCTGATGGTGGTTTCCTCTGAGGAAAGAGCGAGGGGAATGGGACTGGGCAGGGGAACAAACGGCCCCACAACTTCCTCAGTGATGCTTTATTTCTTGAAAACGAAAAGTGATCTCAAGAAACTCTTCTTTCTTTTTCTTTTTACTCGAAGTGTAGCTGATTCACAATGTTGTGTTAGTTTCAGGTGTGCAGCAAAGCGGTTCAGTTAGGTACACATTTTCTTTTTTCAGATTCTTTTCCCTTATAGAACACTACAAGATACTGGGTACAGTTCCCTGGGCTATACAGTAGGTCTTTGTTACCTACACTATGTATAATATAGTGTGTATCTGTTAATCCCAGACCCCCACCACCGCCACCACATCCCCCTTTGGTAACCTTACTCTTGTTTGCCATGTCTGTGAGTCTATTTGAAGAAATACTTCAAGAGGTTTTTTTTTTTCTCCCCCATTCAGTAATCACCAGAAGAGAAAGGAAAAATGCAGGGAACCAGATTCAGGATGCGTGGAACCAGAACTGCACCTTGTTTGGGATTACATCGGGATCAAATCAGGCTCAATTTAAGAACTTATGCTCTGCTCCAACTCATCCTTATGTGGTCCCTCAAGAGAGAAGAAAAGCCCACTTTTCAGGCCCCTTCTGCTGACTCCCTAATCCTCTCACTCTCAGGAGGCCATGTCCTGAAACCCCACAAGCAGACCTGAATCACCCAGATCAGGGGACCAGGGCACTGGCAAAGCCTCACTCACAGGGCTGCAGACAGGTCTTCAGACTCTAAATGAGGGTAGCAGCTTGTCCAAATGTGGTCTTAACATTTCCCACCTGGCAGGCACTCTCAGGATGTGCTCTTGTTCTTCCAACTTACCTAACGGAAAGTGTGAAGTCTCCAGGGTTGCTTTTACTGGGCCTCGCCAAAAAACTGCCGTCAACTCCTCTTGTCAACAGTAGGTTTTCTGCCTCCACGCCAGTGATATTTGGGTGAAACCATCTTGAGAGAGAGAGAAAAAGAGCAATGAAAAACAAAGCACTGCCTTCCACACCACTGCAGCTAAAATGCCAATGAGAAGAGCAGCAAATAAAAACACCAACACAACCCTTTTCCCCAACTCTCTTTGATCACTGTCTTCCCCACAGTAGGGACCTGGCGTCCTGCTGGCACAGTAGGTGGGACTGGGGCTGAAATGGATGCTATTTATACAGAGCGGTTGGGGCCGGCCTCAGCCATAAGGGAATATTTGATCAGATCTGGAAGAAGCAAGGCAGTAACATGCAGCCATGTAAGACAGGAGCACAGCAGGTGGAGGGAGGAACAAGAAAAGGGCATGGGGCAGACCGTTTTTGACCTGTTCAAGCACTCAAGAGGCCAGTGTGCTTGGGACGGAACAGACAGGGTCAGAGGGGAAGGAGATGAGGCCAGGAATGAAAAGCCAGGTGAGGGAGGGCCTTGGAGGTCACTGTAAAAACTTCAGCTTTTATTTTTTTGTGAAATGGAAAAGGACTACAGGGTTTTTAGGCAGAGAAGCAACATGATCTTACATTTCTTTTTTTTAATTTATTTATTTGGCTGTGAAGCATCTTAGTTGCAGCATGAGGAATCGTCAACATTCACTGTGACATGCAGGATCTTTAGTTGAAGCACACAGAATTTTTAGTTGCAGCATGTGGGATCTAGTTCCCTGACCAGGGATTGAACCCAGGCCCCCTACATTGGGAGCAGAGTCTTGGCCACTGGACCACCAGTGAAGTCCCTGACTTATATTTTTAAATCATCCTTCAAGCTATCATGCAAGGACAGAAGAATACAGATCAGTTAAATAAGCTACTGTGATAATCCACGCAAGAGATGATGGTACCAAGGACAAGGTGGCAGAAGGAGCAGTGATAAACAGTCCAACTGGGAATAGTCTAAAGGTAGCCAACAGGATTTCCTTATTAACAAATGAGTTGGGAAAAAAAGAAGCGAGTAAGAAAGATGCCTGGGTTTCAGGTCTGGGTAAGTAGAAGGTTGGAGGTACTGTGTACAAGACGGGGGAAAGGGTGGGGAGAGGAAACTCAGGTGTTGGATTTGGCATGTGCTAAATATGAGATGGTTAGTCATCTGAGAGTCTGGTATATATTATGCACTAAAGTTAAGATATTATTATTGACAATCATAATAATAAATATAAGACTGTTCTAACATGTAAATCCATGGCTGATTCATGCCAATGTATGACAAAAACCACTACAATATTGTAAAGTAATTAGCCTCCAACTAATAAAAATAAATGGAAAAAAAGACTGTTCTGACAAGGAATAATTAGAAAAGGCAAGAATTCTGACATAGCCTACCAACATTCCTGTTATTTACATTAACTGAAATTTATTTTCTTTTTAATTTTTCCTATTGTATCTCCCGAGCATTTGGGGGGAAGTCTAAACATCACTCTGATTGTCCCAGAGAAAAATCACAGGGCTCAGGTGAAAAACATACGTATATATTAGTTGGCTTTTTACTCCCTCTGAGAGCCTGTCAAAAGATCAAGATGGAATTTTGCCCCAGGAAAACTCAACCTCAAGTTATACATACCTATCATCCCAACATCCCATACTTTAGCATACAGCATGATTACTAAACTCTTTTTTTCTTTTTAACCTTGCTCACGATTTCTTTGATCTATGGTTCCCACCTGAGTCCCCACAGCCCTAGGGAATCAAAAAGCAATAACAGAGGGTATCCAGTTACTTATAAGTTTTCAAAAAGTACAGTGAAAATCTTACATTAATATTCAATTTGTCTACCTATATAAGCCAGTTAGAATGTCAAATCTCTTTTGCTTTTGGCTACAAAACAACATATTACTTGATGTGATAGTCCGAAGCTGAGTGGGGGAACACACATATAACCAAAAAAAAAAAAAAAAACATGCAATAGAACAGAACTAAAATTTAAAACTAAATTGAGGGCCTTCCATGGTGGCCTAGTGGTAAAGAATCCTGCCAATGCAGGAGACACGGGTTTGATCCCTGATCTAGGAAAATCCTACATGCTGCAGAGCAGCTAGGACCATGTGCCACAACTGTTGAGCCTGAGCTCTAAAGCCACAGCTACTGAGCCCACGTGTCACAGCTACTGAAGTCCATGTGCGGCAGAGTGCATGCTCTGCAACAAGAGAAGCCATCACAATGAGAAGTCCAGGAACCACAACTGGAGAATAGCCCCAGCTCACTGCAACTAGAAAAAAGCCTGCAAAGCAACAAAGACCCGGCACAGCCAAAAATAAATAATTAAATAAATATATTAAATTTTTAAAAAATAAATTGAGACAATAAATAAGATGTGGATATATACACTGAAAAGTTTCACCAGGTATTTAGGAAAATTAGCCCAGAACAATCACTCAGACACTTGTTCTAATGAAACTATTATACTTTAAAGACAAATGTGAAAACAAATCTTCAATGCCTGCTGCTGCTGCTGCTGCTGCTGCTGCTGCTGCTAAGTCACGTCAATAATGTCTGACTCTGTGCAACCCCACAGACGGCAGCCCAACAGGTTCCTCCGTCCCTGGGATTCTCCAGGCAAGAATACTGGAGTGGGTTGCCATTTCCTTCTCCAATCCATGAAAGTGAAAAGTGAAAGTGAAGTCGCTCAGTCATGTCCGACTCTTAGCGACCCCATGGACTGTAGCCTACCAGGCTCCTCTGTCCATGGGATTCTCCAGGCAAGAGTACTGGAGTAAAATCAATGCCTGCAGTAAAATCAAATAACTTGCTACAGGAAACAAATGAGACTAGCATCCAACTTTTCAAAGTCAACATATACAGCAAGTTGACAAATGAACAAGAATTTTTCAATAACTCAATGAAAAGAAAAGTGTAAACCAAGAATTTTATATCCAGCCAAGTTATCCTTCAACTATCAAGGTTATAGAAAAAAACAAGTTTCAACATACAAGAACTAAGGGAATGCTGCACATATCAGTCTTTCCTGATGAATCTCCTAGAGGATAAACTTCATCTAAGCAAATGGTAACAAGCAACACTGACAAAATAACTGACAGTGGGCATTTAATAATCTGTAAGTGTATATGGACAACTAAAACAAAGATGGGAATGAGAGTAGAAGACTAACGTACAGTAGTTACATATTGTCACACAGTAGAAATACTACAACTAGAAAATGGGAAAGGGAAAACAATAAAAACCTCATTGTTGGGGAACTAGGATCCCACAAGAGCCCTCTGGATCTTCACAGCTAAATAGTCTGTGTGTTGCCAGGAAAGATTCCCCAGAACCACAACTAAGACCCGATACCGCCAAAATAAAAACCTCATTGCTCTATAGTGAAAATCACTCAGTCATGTCCAACTCTTTTCTGACCCCAGGGACTGTAGCCTTCCAGACTCCTCTGTCCATGGAATTCGCCAGGCAAGAAAACCGAAGTGGGTAGCATATTCCTTCTCCCACAGACCTTCCCAATCCAGGAATCAAACCAGAGTCTCCTGCATTGCAGGTAGATTCTTTACCAGTTGAGCTACCAGGGAAGTCCCACTGCTATGTAGGCAATAGGCAACATATGGGTATTTAAAGATAATGAAAAAATCTGATAAGCCTGATAATGAAAGTTAAATAACCAAACAGAGGGGATAAGTACTAGAATTAAGAAAAAAGACACAAACCTTCCAAAAAACTACTTTCAACAAAAAACTTTTAAATACACATCTTAGAAAAAAATTATACACACATACATAAACACACACACACACACATATCTTGAGAGAAATGACGCAAGGAACCACTATATATACAATGGACCCCTGAAAAACTTGGGGATTAGAGGCACTGATCCTTACACGGTTGAAAATCCATATTTAACTTTATAGACAGCCGTCCATATCCACTGTTCTGCTTCCAACCACATGATTTCAACCAGCTGCAGACTGTGTTGTACTGTAGTACATACTTATTGAGGAAAATCTGTGTTTAAGTAGACCTGTGCAGTTCAAACTTGTGTTGTTCAAGGGTCAACTGTAAGTATAAAATATTATGATAGAATTGATACCAAACCTATCAATCATAACAATAAATGTAGATGAGGTTGCTATCAAAAAAAACTAACAAACAACAAATCTATGAATATTTATGTACAATCACCTTTATGGAGCAAAAACTACAGGAGATGCAAGGAAACACACTAATAATAGGAGACTTTAATAGTCCACATCCAATACAAAATAAAATAGACTAAGAAAACAGGTAAGAGAAAATCTAAACAACATAAACAATATGGTAGATATATTGTGCATATGTTGAACTCCACACCTTGATAATAGTCACATATTCTTCCCTAGTGCCTAGAGAATTTTCATAAAAACTGATCAGATATATTAGGTCACAAAGAAAAGAAAACAGTAACTCCTATAAAATAGAAGTATTACAACTTAATACCACGGTATCATGATTGGTCAACAGAATATAATAGAATTCTATATCACCAAAACTACCATTTAATAGAAAAACCTGTGTCACTTTTTAAAATCCAGATCAGATTTTATCTTATCAGATAAAATTATCTGATAAGATAATTTTATCAGAATTATCTTAGAATTCTTTTAAAAATACAAATGCCCAGGTATTGCTTTTTTTCTACAGATGTGTTTCTAATGAGCAGCCATGTTTCAAAGCAACTGGACTACACGATGATCTTCTTTTATCTAGTTTGTTTCACATTATCTATTTCATAATCAGTGCTCCCATTTTATTTAGTCTGTTTTCCATTTTTTCATATATAGCCATATATGTACTACAGACATATTACATGTCTATATATACATGTATAATATATGTATTTTAGAAAACTTATAAATTTTTGCCTAGCTAAAAAGTTTATGACATTTTGATTCTACTTGTTTGATGTAATATGAATAGAATGCTAGATTTCTAATAAAAAAATAAATATGCAACAAACAAAAGTTTACTGTATAGCACAGGGAACTATAGTCAGTA